GGGGGGGGGGGGGGGGGGGGGGGCAACAGAACACGTGTCAGCGCACAGAGGAAGATGAGCTTAGCAGGCAAATCACGTCCCCTGCAGGCACACGCAACACCGGTACTCTGGCCTTGTACAGGAAGCACGAGGACACAGACCCAACATCTGGACCAATCGCCGCATGTCCTGGCAAGTTAGAGGTTAACGGTAAAATACGACAGCTTAAATGTCACTTAAACGCCAAACACCAGCGCAGAAGGTGCCCGGGCATTAATAAACCGAGCCGCTGGAGGATGCCAAGGGCTGGACCCACCTGGGTGATGGTGCCGTCCTTCTCACTGCACTCCTGCTTGTGCCGTGAAGCCGCCTTCTTGCTCTCCTGGCTGAGCTCGAAGTACTGCTCCTCCTGCAGCGCCCGCGCCAGCTGCTCCGACTCGGCCTTGGTCACCGTCAGGTCCAGCTGGGCGGACAGGGACTCCCTGCGGCGCGCGGCCAGCCACAAACACACACGCGTCAGCCGTTAGCGGCGCCCGCGGACGGGCTGGAAAAGCGAGCCCTTCCCGTTACTCCGCGAACACGCTGATACGAGGCTTGGAAGTGCTCGAGCGGTGGTACGACTGGGTCACGCCAAGGCAGGGAGAAGGTCTGATCGAGGACCATGACAACCTCAGAAAAAAAATCACAGTTCCTGCTATCAGGGCCTCTCAGGTATTTCCAAGTCATCTGGGAGTCTTAAGCGGAAGGATAGCTCCGAAAAATATCACTGGGCCGATCCCCACACTGTGTCCTAATTACTAGAGGAGAGCAGTGATTACAGGGCGGCGGTAGGTAACGGCGGATGAAGCGGAGGCCCGCCCTCTGGAAGGTCACTGGATCAGAGGGCCAGGGGGCTGTTAGAGGCCTACCTTTCACTGTGAAACTCCTGTACTTTTCTGTGAACTTCCTGGATCTGTCGGTTCCTCTCCTCAATCTCCTCCTTCAGCTCCTTCACCTGAGTCTTGTACAAAGTCTGCAAGAAGGGCCAGGGTCACACGGGGGTTAGAGTTAGGGTCACACGGGGGTTGGCCAGCGTTCTTACCTGCAGGCCTCTTCACAGCAGGGGTCAATTAATGAGCTGCATAAGTTACCATCCAAGTACCAGACTTAGAGCAGCACTCAAGGAGAATAGGAGTATCAAGAAGATATGGTTCAGCCCTGAGGGAAAATGGTTCAGCCCTTCCAAATCCCCGAGCTGTCTATTCCTGCAAAACCTCAGAATATGGGCACCACATGACAGCAAGATTTTTTCGCTAAATTATTAAAACTATAAGCTCAGCCACTATAAGTGCAGCACTGGGACTATAATTTGACAACTACGGCACAGATCAGCATTTTCCCCTGGAGAACGAGCCATATGAAATCAAAGCGCCCAACAGCAGTGCAGCTGAAAGCTTGAATCTGGCCAGAGCCAAAATGAAACCCAGGCCTGCAGTAAACAGCTGCTCTGGTTGATTCAAAACATGATCAACGAGTACAATGACAATAAACACAGCTAACATCGTTTAAATGATTAAGAAAAGAAATCCGGATTGAAGCTTCAGCAGAGCCAATTGCTCAATTGTTTTAAACATCCAGACAATGCAAGGAACTAAAGAGAAGGATAAATGTTTGCTGCATGGTAAATATCACACCCCCCCCCCTCCCATACCCGCTCATGGCGGCAGTCTGAACCATGGGGTAAGTATCAGAATGAAAACACTGCCCACAGACTGAGCAAGGCCCTTATGTGTTAAGCTTTAGAATCTAAACAGACCTGGAACACGACAGAGGATTATTTTCACAAAAACACACCACTTATATCACGCCTGCCATAAAGACCAAATGACATGGTACGAAATAGCAGGGAGATGAGGACCCGCAGCCGAACCGCATCAAATAATGCAACAGAAGACACTTCAATGCACACTGCGTGCAGGGTGCATGTTAACAAGGGCCGAAGCAAGTCCACAACGCAGAGTAATCCTTCACTTTGAATTCCTGGTACCTAACATTCAGGAACGACGGCCCCAGAAAGCACCTGGGTACACACAATCCATCCCATAGCTAATAGGAACAGTCACTCACACAGAACAGCTCATGAACATACAAAATCCATCAGATCAGATCGGCTTTTTGCACTGCATTAAAGTCAAACCCGGCTTTTTGCACTGCATTAAAGTCAATGCCGGCTTTTTGCACTGCATTAAAGTCAAACCCGGCTTTTTGCACTGCATTAAAGTCAAACCCGGCTTTTTGCACTGCATTAAAGTCAAACCCGGCTTTTTGCACTGCATTAAAGTCAAACCCAGCAGAGGTGGAGAGTTCAGCTCCAGAAAGTAAAAATCCACACAACGTGCTTCGGTATCAGAGTTTAGGTCCCGAACGTAAAAATGCAGACCGAGATTTTGTTTCAACCAACCAGTTGACGTTGACTCTTTAAGTCATTGTCATTGAAGCACATTGTAAGAAGTTCCTGAACAGGTCTCATACACAACCACACATAACCATGCCAATTCACAGAGCAACCATTTCCGCTGCTCTTTCAAAGCTCAAAGCAGGGAAGGCGACGCCATTTAGAAAGGATGAACGTCTGGAACTCACAGAGAAATACTGTTCGGCCTCCAGCTGGTCCTGCAGCTCTCTCATCTGTCCCTCATTGCCTCTGTATTGCCTGGAAGAGATGGAAGGATGAGCTTAGTGTCTGAAGTCGATTTCAACATGGGCGTAACATGGCGACAATGTGAGTGGCCGGCGAATGCATCGCTGCACACGGTCGCAACAAATGATGTGGTTTTACATTAAAATTACCGCCCTTCGGAGTTGAAGTACAACCAAAGCCGTTCCAGTCAGACGTCTATCGGGCTAAACGTGTGGCACTACGTCGGCTTGGATTACCGTGCTCACCGAGCAGCAATAAAACGTTATTGTTAAAAGGCGCAATTCCAGACACCTTTGTGCGGAAGTGCAGCTTAACTTTAAAGCTAAAGTAACTCAATGCTGTGACCTTCGGCAGATTTCACACCAGCAGAGCTTGGAGGTGGAGCAAAGGGCAGCTATTAATCCCAAACCGTAAACACTGGCGGAGCTCGAGCGGTAAGCCGAGGCTGGAAAGGCTGCGTGAAGGTCTGCAAAGAGCAGCCACAGTAATCCGGAGAGGTCTTAGCTCAAATATTACTCAGAGCTGGACACAAATGCAACAAATCGTCCAGAGCCCCCGGGTTTACACTACAGTAATGGAATTATAATCACAGAATTAGGTCTCTCATAAAGCCCTACATCCTGCGATAGGAACTACCAGAATGAGTAATGTGGCCAAAAGGTCAAGGAGATTAGCAAGTGCTCTTTGTTCCTGCCCAAATTAATTTACACCTTAAGCACAGAATGCAGTTTCCAGCCTTTTTCAAAAAAGGATCAGGGATAAGTCCCGCAAACCCGGAGAAGCCTCGCACCCACTGCTGGAGAACAGCAGCCTGGAGGATTGACCTGAACTACAAAGCTGACCCTATCAGAGGCTGGGCCTAGAGATGCCTGAGCATGAGGCTCTCCGCACGGTCTCACGTGGCACTCACTTGGTGAGCTGTGCCAGTTGGAACTCCAGGGAGCGCTTGCTTTCCAGAGCCGCGTTGATCTCCTGCTTCAGCTGCTTCTCGGAGCCCATGAGCCGGTCGGCCTCCAGGTTCCGTAACTTTAGCTCACTCTGGACCTGCACCCTTTTGCTGGCCTCCTGCTCGAACTGCAGCCGCAGGTTCTTAACCTGCGCGGAAAGAGAAGCACATGCATGTATCCATAGAAGCCAATGAGTGACCACCATCACACACTCTGCGGCACCAACCTCGTCTTCGATCCGCTCCTTCTGCTTCATCAGCTGCTCGATCTTCTGCACGGACTGTTTGAGGTCGAACTCCATCATGGAGCACTGCTTCTCCACCTCCACCACCCGGCTCTCTGCTCGCATGCGGGCCACGGTCTCCTCCGAAACCTTCTGCTCCACGACTGCGGAGAGAGAGATTGTGACACGCGACTCCGCTTATTAGGGGAGCATCCAAAGGTATCTGGACACAAGCCAATCCAGACAGACATCCAAGCAAGCGAGATGACAAAGCCCGCCCTAAGGGTGCACCTACCGGTCATGGCTGCAGACTTGGCCTCCTCGATAGACTCGTACTTGTCCGCGAGCTGGGCCCGTGTCATGCGGTGCTCAGTGATCTCCTGGTCCAGCCGCTGCTGCAGGGTCTTCAGCTTGTAGTTCAGGTCAATCTCCAGGCCGTTCTTCTCCTGCAATGGGTGCATGGCTCGTAAGAAACACTCCAGGCCCGCTGGCCTCCGGCAAGTTGCTCACGGCAAGTTTTTAAGCACAAACCTTCTCCAGGCTGTTACTGCGCTCCTGGGCCTGCTTCCGCTCCCCTTCCATCTTAGACAGGTTGGTTTTAAGGCTCCGGATCTCCTCCTGCAGGCTCGCTGTGCGTGCTGGGATACAGGGATTCGGAGACAAGATTTATTCTCAGAACCTATGGCTTACAGTGTCAAAATCGTGGAATGAAAAATCAGAGGACTCATACAAGCTGACATAATGGTTAGAGGGAGCCTACATGGAGGTAGATTCTGGTTGAGCTTGCACCCGGAGGTTTCAATTCTAAAATGCCAGCAAGTCATCCCTCATCCAGCTGCACTGCAGCCTTACCTTGGAGTTCACGGATCTCCTCTGAGCCCTGGCTGTAGTTCCTCTTCTCCGAGTCCAGGGCGGCCTGCAGCCGAAGCAGCTCCTTCTCCAGCTGCAGCTTGACATCGTCGGCCACGCGGCTCTTCTCCAGCAGCTCGCAGTTATGGTTCTCCAGCTGGTTCATGGACTTGCCCATCTCCGTGTGGTTCTTCCGCAGGCGTGCCGCCGTGTCCGACTCCACCCGGAGCAGGTCATTGGCCTCTTCGAGCTGTCAGGCAAGACTCAGGGATGTCAGATAGCTTGACGATGCAAGGAAGCCTCAATGTTGCCTACTGCTCTTTGAGACTATTTTAATCGAGCATTCAGAAAAGGCTTGAATCATGTCAGTTCACCAGAATTACCATAAATTAAGATTCCTCCTATTTCAGGGTTGGCCAATCTTATCCGCAAAGGGCCGGTGTGTATGCAGGTTTTTGGGGTAACCTTTAGGCCAGCTGTTCAAACCCAGGTGTGAGGACTCCTCAGTCAGTCAGTCCTCTAATTAGTAATCTAATTAGGGAGTTGCAGAGAAAACCCACAAACACAGCAGCCCATTCTGGCCACCCCTGTCCTGATTGGTATGTAGGTCAGCTGGGTGCAGAACGACATACGCGAGCCAACAAAGGTACCGGCTGCCATAAACACACCCCCCAATCTTACGAAACAACAATCGCGCTACATTACAGAAACACTATGTTTAAAAACTATTTCTAACACGCATAGCACAACCTAACATGCAGGATCCACATTGGACTTTGGGGTAATGAGGGAGGGGGGGGGGCTCCCATGAGACTGACTTGTTTCTGCAGCTGTGAGATCTTGTCGTTGGAAGCCTGGGAGTTTTGGCTGACGATCCTCAGGTCCTCCAGCTGCTCCTTCAAAGTTGACACTGGAAGGGGGGACGGTGGGGGCAGAAAAAGGTTCAGAGCAGTGGCCCATCCCATCAATCCTCAGGACGCCCCGTCGCCCCCCTCCCCCCCATAACTCAGCCACTTGCCCACAGCTCCACCCCCTCCTCAGGGCCTTCCGCCCCCGCTGAAACTTATCCAGCGTCACAGGCGGCGGCTGTCGCTCACTTTATAACGGTCGGCACACGAACGTGACCCCTGCGCCTGCCACTTTAACGGCTCGGCACCCGGGCCGCACTTAGGGCGCCGCCCTGAGGAGAGCCGGCAGTGAACGGGCTTCAGGAGGACTGGGTCACACTGGGAGGTCAGCGGGGGTCACCGCACATCTGAAGGAGCCGCTGCTCCAGCCAGATGACGGCTCTGTTCAGCATTAACAGTCCGTTAACCCCAACGTGGCTTTATGGTGCAGGTGAAAAGTATACGCGCAGCTGTGAAAAGCCCCAGAGCCCATCTGTAAGTGTGCGCGCCCATATGGACAACCGTAACTCACACGCAAGACAGTCTATTTCACAGAAACCACTGTAGATAAGTCACTTATTACTTTAAGGTACTTGATTCAACTCAATGTCATTAACCAGAACTTACATGCCAGAGTTAATCTTGACAGGGACACCCATAAATCAAGAAAGGAGCATAACAAAGCCAAAGCGTGTCGCTTCTAGAGGTCACACAAACGCTCACAGGAAGAGCCAGACCTGCTGTGTCCTCTAGAGATACTCTCATACCAGTCTCTAAACCACTCTGCTCTGCACCACACGGTCGCTGATATCCTCACCCTCATTCTCCAAGTTACGCCTCTTCTCAGCCTCCTGTTCAGCCTTCTTCTGGCTATCGGTCGCCCGGTGCTGGATCTTGATCTTGTCCTTCTCCAGCAAGGACACCGTGGACTCTGCACTCTTCCTCAGGTTCGTCTGGCGGAGGGGAACATACTTCAGCACACGGGCATCGCACAGCTTATTGCTAATCAGTCAGCGTGGGGATGGGGCTAGCTCAGGTGATCGGATCTTAGCCTTCAGCATCTGGATATGAGGCTCTGGTGCTGAACTCAACTCAATAGCAGCTGTCAAGGGGTCTGCATGCATCTGAAGCACACTCATCTCACCCTGAATTGAAGTTTAATTTAACTAAAAGGGCTACCTAACGTGAAAGGCAATATAAATAACCATTAGATATTAGGCTTCTCATTTCATATCACTTAAACCATTCCAGACATCCAAGCAATCATAGCAATGGCTGAATGGAGTATGGGAAAGTCACACACACACGAACACACACACGAACAGCTGTACTACTGATTGCTGTTTATTAAAACCATCCATCTACTACTCATGACCTGGATCAAAGTCACTTACCTCCTCATCCAGGTCCTTCAGGATCTTGTCTAGCTTTGTGCAGGAGGCCCTGGAGAGCAGACACACACACAGACAGACAGACAGACAGACACATACAGGGCTCGCGGTTAATCGCTTGTCAGAGCATGACATAGATAAATGTCACAGACTGGTGTCAGGATCTCGCGCTGACTGCTTTTTTTAGAGGGCATGACGCTTTTTACGGGACGCTGGGGACACGTGCATGCTGACGCCCGTGAAAGCTGCTGAAATGTGAGTAAACGGGGCGAGGCCCGAGGTCACGGAGCGACCTCTTGGGTTGCATTTCCACTAATGTGTGTAATTTGGCGTCGCCGCGGTTGTGGACTCTGACGTGACGTGACGTGACCTGGCGGTAGCGAAGCATCGCTGGACAGGCTGGGAGCCAGAACAGACCACGGCCGTAGAACCGCGGCGGGAAGCGGAAGAGAAAGGAGGGCACCTGTGCTTCTGCTCCATCTCGTCCTTCTGCTGCATCTCGCTATGGAGCTGCTCCTCCAGCTGATGAACCCTCTTCTGCAGGTTCTCAAGCTGCAAGAAAACGACATGGCATCTTGTCTCCAGGGTGCTCACCGTGCTTCTAAATAAAACCGTGGATTTTTCCAGAATTTTAACAAGCACTTCTGAGTGACTTGTCTGTTAGCTCCATGTCGTCGGGTTGTGTTAATGCAGCTACCCGCCACACTGGTACTTACGAGGTTCTTCTCCTCCTTGGTGGAGCTACTACACTTGTCGCTCGTCTTGGAGCTGGAGATCCGGGATAACCTGGGCCAGGGAGACCTGCCAGTTACCACCAGCGCCGTTCAAGACGCCCCAAGAGCTCATGGAAGCAAAGCACGCTCAGACCAGTGTGGGATCTAGCAGGAGTGACTCACTGATGGCAGCTGTAGTAGGTAAAGCCCACGAAGGGGAGCTGATTGCCCACGAAGGCCTTCGGTACTGGGAACGTTTCCTCTTCACCTCGATCCTCCTCGATGTCGTCAAAATTGCTGGTGTCAATGTCGCTGCTCAGTTCCGGGACCACAGGGGCGGCAGCTGGTGAAAGAGCAATTTGCACATTCCAGAAAATGCAGACCTTATGAGCTATTGGGTCTTTTTAGCTTATTAGCTAACGTAGCCATTAGCTTACACATCCATGCACGCAAAGTCCCATCCCCGCTATTCACACTGGAGGTGGTGCTCACTGGACCCGCGTGACTGCATTTGGCCCCGTGGGATTTTTAATGAACCAGAAGACAAGACCGAAGACCACAAATCCGCACTTGAAGATCTTTAGTAGCTTTTAGCCCACCCTGGGCGTCTGACATGATAAAACTTAGGCAGTAATTCACAGTAAATTCACAGTAAAGCGTTCCTGAGGACAAGCGCCCCCCCACTCACTCTCCCGGATGTTCTCCCACGTCCACTGGTCGTTCTTGAAGAATGGGTGCCGCTTGATCTCGTCCACGCCATTGCGGCCCAGTCGGACCTCCCTGCAACGGTAGGGCTGAGGATTAGTGACTGTCTGTCGCCATGGCAACTCTTTGACGGGTCACCACGCCTTGTGCTGATCACACATGTCTATGAGCTGACCTGAGGGTCAAGGGGACTTTGCTGCGGACTCCACATGGACCGTTTGAAATTTAAACCAAGAGCAGAATGTGAGGCCCAGAGCTTCAGAAAGCATGTGCCAGCAGATACTAACAGAAGAGTGTAAAATCCTGGCAAAAATGTTTCAGATTCAACTCATTTCCCTGCCCAGAAATGTCACACGAATAATTTTTCACAAAAATTAAGGATATTTCTTACCCTTTCTGCCAAGTCATTATTTCTTTCAAAAACTGTACTGACATTATCCACTAAAATGCAACAATATGGTCAATTTCACAATTAATTCTCTCATACAAGCCTATAAAACAGCCACTAAATTAGGTTGGAGATGAACGAGCTGTTTGCTCATCAGGCGAGGGGATGTCCCAACAGCCAAGGAAACAAAGAACAGTCTTTGTTTGGTGTCAAAATAAAACATATTCCATTTAACCTGAATTCTCAGCTTTTACCTGCGAGCACCTAGTGACAAGTAAAATAAGTGGCTGCAGGAATCCTGGTGCCTCATAAACACCATCAGAGCCTTGGCCCTCAAAAGGGGTCCAAGACGTCATAAAGATTGACTTTTGATAGCTTCCGGGTTCAGGGACGTGAGTCTGGACGGGTGACACAAGGTGGGACCTGCGATGCCGCTCTGAGGCTCCCAGCTCACGCACTCACCGGTCCGTGAGGAAGGCGCAGATCAAGTTCTTGGCGTCTTTCGAGATCTCACTGTCTTCCGGGAAGACGAGGGCATTCTTGTGGTTCATGATCTTGCTGTAGGTGCCCACCAGTGAGTCAGCGTAGAACGGCGTATCTCCTGCGGAGGAAGTGGAGGACGAATGAGACTGCGGCCCACCAAAAAAAAAGAAAAAAAGAACAACTTTCGCAGGAAGTATCACAGTGTTTCAAGCTACCAGCGGCGTCCTCAATGGCTTCCAACACTGATTTTACAGCTTTTGATCATATCACTGAATTACAACAGTATCTTTAAAATAATTGCCACTCTGAAAAAAACAAGATGTCTTTGACATGAATTGAGGAGTGAGGGCAACATGAACACTACCAGCCAATTGGGGAGGGGGGCTGACTTCTGATGTCAGACCAATGAGATTTAAGCAGAAGAAAAACAAGGCTCTGCAAGAACGGTAAACAGGTAAAAATAAAATCGGCCAGCACATTCAACGAAAATCCCATTGAGGAGAAGGAAACAAATAAATTGGAAGTGAAGGAAAATCATTTTTCATGTTCCTCCAAAGGACCACTCACCGCTCTGTGGCTGATATCATTATGAGCTACAGAGCATTTGCTACAAAGTAACAAGTCAAGCTTGGACTCCAACGTCACATCACACACACTTATTTATACCCAATACCTGTCACAAAGTAAGAGCGAGGAGGTGGCAATTTCAGACTCACCGACGAGCATCTCGTACAAGAAGACTCCGACGGACCACCAGTCACACTCCCTCCCATAGTAGCCGTCCCCGCCCTGGGACTTCAGAACCTCGGGGGAGATGTAGTCAGGTGTCCCGACCGCCGTGTCACACCGCACCATCCCGTCCTGCCCCCAAAACAGCACTTTAGCACATTCAGGTGACCCAGCACAACCACCAAGTGACACTAAGCCGGCCCACTGAATACCTTATTCATCTTCATACAGGTCCCAAAGTCCGCCAGTTTCAGGTGGCCCGATTTATCCAGTAACATGTTATCCGGCTTCACATCCCTGCAAGACATGGCACAAAATATGGCTGAATAGGCATGAACACGACCTCCCAGCAAGGAAAAACATATATACGCAGCTATTGGAAAGGGACGACACATAGGTGGGCTTTGCATTCGAAGGATGGAGCGTGACGTTCTGGAAAGCCACCGCGAGGAGCTGGGTGACGACGTGAAGGCGAGAGGCGTCGGGACTCTGGCCCCAGGAGGAGCGGATGATGGCTGCAAGACACGTTTATCCGACATGGTCGCACTTGGCACTTACAGCCGGGGCTGGAGGACGGGCTGTGTTATCGCCCGGCCAATTTTAAACTCCCCTGTATAAAAACCCCTTCCTGCTATGATCGGTCCCTCGCCGGAAGGGCACCGGATGCCAGGCGTCAAACTGAACGAGCACTTCACACGCAGATGCCTGGTTTGTATAACCATGGCTACGCTGGCTAGACCACAGACAGGTAACATTGAGCCGTCTGCTGTTCACCAATGACCGCAGATGTGGGGAGGGAGGGGGGGGGGGTTCCATTTCTCACATGCTTGGGTCTGAGACCTGAACGTGTGGCTTGTGACAAGGCCTGCGGGGACAGCTTCCTGTTCGTTGCGGTCCAGGAATTTGCCAGTTCTGCACCCAGGGAGCAGAGGAGCGGGATGGGGTACCTGTGGATGAAGCCCATGGAGTGGATGCCGTCCAGAGCCAGCACCACCTCGGCGGTGTAGAAGCGAGCCCATTTCTCTGGCACGTCGTAGTTGCTCATCAGGTTGACCAGGTCGCCGCCGGGCATGTACTCCATCACCATGTACAGGTACCGGTCGTCCTGGAACGCGTAGAAGAGCTGGGGGGGACAACACACTCACGTTAGGGCCGTTACCTTCATGCTGGTCAGGGCCATTACCTTCATGCTGGGTGAACCTGAGGTTGAGACTCAACCGGACTCCCTGGCAGCCTGACAATTAAGCTTACTAGCTACGAAAGCTATTTTTCCACATCACATGTGCGGTTTCGAGAAGCAAGAGGAATGAGCAGATTACCCTAAAGTGCCTAAATCATGTGCGACAAGGGTCTCCTCCCTCTTCAAGCTAAGACCCAAGGAAACGGGAGACCTTTCAGCAACGGTGAACCTGTCTCGTAGTACTAAACACTGCCAAATACAGTATTCCGTATCCAGCAAAACTCCATTTCTCAATCGATATAACCACTGACAAACGAGTACTACATTATGGAGGGAATGTTTTGAAACCTCGACTCGGAAGAGTAAGAAACCACAAAGCTAACAGAAGGTGCGGACAAACACAAGCAGTCAGTGCAGTTCCCACAGCGACGACCGATAGCTGCTTGAATGGCAAGAGAGAGAAGAGTCCGGTCAACACCGAGCTGAACGTGGAGTACTGTACCTGCACCACCCAGCCGCTGTTGGCGAAGGCCATGATGTCCCTCTCCTCCCAGAAGAAAGCAGAGTCCGACCTTTTGATCATCTCAAATTTACTGAGCAGCTTCATGGCGTAAACCTTCCTCGTGGCTTTGTGTCGCACCTGGGAAGCGTGTGGCATGGTGAAGAGACACCCACTTAGTACGGGAGAACCTTTCCATAATGAAAGCCATTTAATTCGTTTAAAAGAGGCAGAAACGTTCGGGAGGTAAAGTAACCTCAACCAATGGGCAACGTGGGCCATCAACCAGAAGACTTGCTTTCATGAGCGGATCACCGGGACTCCCCATTCCAGTCCTGGAGGGCCAGTCTGTAACACACTTTGCAGTTTTCCCTGCTCAAACACACCTTATTCAGCTCACCAGCCAATTGCATGGTTTAGTATGTGTGTTTCAGCAAGGAAATCTGTAAAGTGTGGAACACACTAGTGCTCCAGGGCCGGAACAGGGGAGCTCTGATCTAAAACCTCCAGCAACGTTATAACAGTTGCTGGAGTACATTTGCACCATTAGGAAGCTCACAAAGCAATGAGTATGTCTACTACTGCTCACTAGGTGAGTAAACGTGATTTATCACTCCCACAAGTATTGTCCTAGTGCTACACACCATCAAAGAAAACATCCATCTCTATACTCTCGCTGTGTGGAGGGTATCGATTAAAACAGTTTAAAGGACACATGAGACACTGTGTGGCGGGGGTGGGGGGGTTAGTCTTACCAGCTGCACCTCCCCGAAGGCCCCCCTGCCAATGACTTTGACCACCTCATAGTCCTCTGCCTTCATGCGAAGATCTCTGATCTTGCTGATTGTGTCTTTGTCTGGGAGGGCAGACAGAGAAGGTGAGAATACAGCACAATAGCCATTGTAAACTGACAAGACTGCAGCCTCACACCCATCAGGCCTCGGGTGACACGAATCCATTGAGAGTTGAGGGGGGGGGGGAAAGTTGCCAATAAAAGCATCCAGACTTGCCTGTACACTCAGCGGCCACTATCAGATACACTTATCGCGCTTTTCCACTGCCAGCAAGAACCCAAGCCAAACCCGAGCCGAACCGCAGAAAGATGGTTTTCCATTGTAAATTGAGAGCCGCACCCGTGTTGAAATGGCTCCGCTTACAAGGGCCAAAAGCGTGACTAAACAGAGCTGCTTGCATCACCATCTGATTGGTCGAAATGCACGGCTAATACCAGGCAGCATCCACTTTCACTTCCAAAACTGCTTCAAAGGGTGATGGGTTATGCGTTCAGAGGGGCAATTCCGCACACCAGTGTCGTCCAGAGCAGTCGCCTTTGCACTTGTGACCTTCCTGTCGGCTTCAATGACTCTGGCCATTCACCTCTAACCTCTAGCCACAAAAATGCCTGACTTTAAAAAAAAATAAAAATTCCAAACAGGACCATTTCTCATCTCTAGACAATGTAGTGTAGGGGGGAAAACAGGAAGGTGGAGGTTTTGAAGATGCTACACCCACCATGTCTGGCCCCAACAGTCACATCACACTCAGCAACTTAGATGACAGGTTATATATATATATTCAGCTTCAGCCACATGATGCTGGCAGGCTGATCACATTAACAAGCAGGATACCTAATGAAATGGTGACCGATTCTACTTTAACAGAAAGTTAACAGTCTTAAGCACAGCTAAAGTGAAGTACAACTTGTTACCAATAAGAAACCTGTATTGACTAAATTCAGCTAAATACAAAAAAAAAATCACAACGCATCAGAAAGCAATAGCTAATACTCAAAAAAAAAATAAAAAAAAAATACTCCTAAAGGAACCGTAGGGAACACTTTATTAAGCGAGGCGTTCAGACCTCTACGTCCACAAAGGATTTGCGAAGGGTGGCAGCTGAAACAGAAGCTTGTCTCTGTTATTAGGAGGCTGATAGTGGAGCGTAAAACCTGTCCAACCACAGCACGGTTCCACAAAAACAAGCCCAAAGTCGCAGGGCTATTTATTTATACATGCATGAATCCACCCGAGTTCCTGCCAGTCACACCGTGTTGTTTGGGGGGGGGCTGGAGGCTTCGCTCCTTAGGGAGGCTCTGACTCTGGGCCTCTATGGGGCTCAGGGCCGTCACACGCTGCACAGCTACTGAAGGGCACAGGCCTTATCTGGGCCCACGGGTTTGGTCCATCGAGAGCAACGACATCACTCAGCCAAATTTGGTCATAGCTGAAAAGGGGAGATTGTTTGCAATTCACATGGGTCACAACTGGCAAAAAAAAATGCTTGGAAAAGGGGGCATCCAAGTTCAATTGATCTAAAAATAACAACAGAGAGCTATTAAAGAAAGAACAGTGAAAATAAAAGCGCTTTCCATCACACAAGGGCTCGAGGCCTGCCCTAAAAACGGTCATTCCGCAGAAAAAATAAAAGGAATAAAAGGTTCAGGAAAGGCAACGCTGAGCGTTTGTGTCCCATAAATGAAAATACCTTAAGGCCACTGAAAACAAAATGCAATAAGACTTAAAGGACTTTGATCATTTTAAAATCTCTGAAATAGATACATTAAGACAGGAATACTCCATATGTCGAGGTGGACATTCACACCAGCACAATGCACTACAACACAGGCATGTTCTGTAGTATCATAGCAGTAGCATTTCCAGGCGATGAACAGAACTTCAGTCTTCAGCCTCTATCAGTTACATGCCAAGTGAGCATTGCTGTCCAGAGACGATCCATCATATTCTGGGACAATCGGGAGTATTATGCGGGTTTGAGGGACATTAGGAGGTTGAAGACCAACACCAAACTGCTTCAGGCTTTGGGCAGAATGAGAAGCCAGCATCTCTCCGGTGGCAGTGGGAGCTGTGTGCTATACTTTTGACTGCTGGACCCAGCAGTAAGAGGATACATTACTGTCAGAAGTTGTGGTCCTTAAACGCCAGTGTGATCTTTGTGGATTGTGGCCTCCCTATTGTCTTGGTATTGAATCAGTGGCCCTAACAGTCTACGTGTCTTTAGGCATTGTCTCACGCAACCATTCTTTTTTTTTGTTGTTTTGGGAGGGGGGGGGGTGTTCACACCCATTACTTACATCTGTTCAGGAAGTTGTCAATGCTCTTGTTCTTCCTTAAGGCCGGGAAGTCCAGGTCATAGACCAGAGCATCCAGCCCATCCTGCAGAGAGAGGGCACACTTGTTATAGAAACATGACCATGACAGCTCATATACTTCATTTAAGAATCAGTGGCAACCATACTTAAAAAAAAAAAATAAAAAAAAAAAACTCAAATAGTTCAGAAATCTGCATGGTCACAACAGTCTTTACGCTTCACATTCTGACATATTCTCTATGGTAAAACTCGGAATCAGCAGCATTCAAAAGCCGTGCCTTTGATTTGGAAGCCTGCGAACGTGAAAAGCACTGGACTCCGGCCAGGAGCAGGGTTAATAAACTGGACGGGGAAATATCACTGTGCTCACAGCTGGCATGTAAAATCCTATTTCCACTAATTGTTGGAGTTCCTCTGACAGGGGAATAGCACAAAAGTGAATTATACAGGCTAAAACACCCTATGACACGAAGCGCACACCTGATAAGGCGTTACAGGATGTGGCTACACTGCCATTTGGCTCACTGGGTAGCTGTATTTTGCATTTAGGGGACTGACTGAAGCACTTAAGTCACTCTTAACATACAGTGCATTGAATAGCGGGTCATCCACAGAAAAAGCAGGGCGTCGAACATCCCTCCCGAGGTCCTGAGCTTCACCGGCATGAGGCCAGGATAGCGGGTAGGGGGACAGCCAGCAAAAGTGCACAGAAACAGGGTGGGTGCTGTTTGGGCTGTGATGTGCCGATCAGAAGTTGCTGTGACCAGGACAGGCCTGAGGTATCAACAGCAGATGTGCATTGTGGGAAATGGGCCGACCATATTTATACACCCAGTGAACAAAATGGGTTTCCGCCAGCAACAGTTCCCGTGGCTGAGAAATGTAGAAGTGCTATTGGAATTTATGACACAGGAATCATGCACCTATTGACGTCACATGCAGATAAGTTCTCCAGGTAATTGCAATGGTAAGACAAATGTAACAGGAAAAAAAAAAAAAAAACAGCTGGGAACCGTTAACCAGCACCCAGTGACTGATTAGTCTGCGGGGAGGTGGTAGCCTTAAGGACAAGGTACACAGCTATACTCCGAGGGGCCTATGACAGCAGCCAATACCTAAGCTGGCAGGCCAGGAGTCAAGTTCACCAAAACCCAACAAATGTTAAAAAAAAAGTCTAAAATGGGCCCCTCACTGTTTAACAATAACGCCTCTGCCCAAACAAGGTCTGGTCAGAAGAAGACTCAGTCAGCGAGCTGGGATCAGGGAAGAGAAGAAAAAGCTCCGATGTCCAAAAAGGGACATTATATAACATGAGTCCCTCTCGCCAAAGCAATTAGTCACTGTGACAAGGAAGCACAACCTCTCAAGCTGTTGTAGCAACCATGTTTGGTAACCAGATGAGGAGTGAGGAGCGCAGGCCTGTGAAAACGCAAGCAGAGGGCGGCTGCTGACTAAATAAATATGCACAGTGGTAGGAACAAAAACAAGCACCGCAGGCAAGTTGTGCGACCGTAGCTGTGTCACGTAATAGCATGCATTCCTACACAGGGTATATGGAGCAGAGCACAGGCCACGCTAAGTTGCCGCGAGTGTACACCTAACGTGCCCCAGGGAAACGCCGGCCAAAGACAACAGCAGCACAAGAATGGGCCCATAGAAGCTGGACGGCAGCCATGTTTATGCTGGAGACGGAGCCGCATTGCTTAAACGCCGGGACAAAAAGAGGAAGAGAAGGGCATTGAAGTGTTACTCTTAGACTTTTCAGTCCCCTACAACTTCAGGCAAGCCAACAGAGATACAGGCTCGACAGTAAAATGTTCAACAACCTCAGTCCCAAAATTATTTTTTGGTCATTTCACTCTATCATGCAGCACTTATCAGGCAGATTTGGCTTCCGCCGATGTTTACATACATGCATACATGTGTTTAACACATTTTAGCACATTTAAGAAACTGCATCTAATGCTCCCAGGTGCAAGAGCAGACAGAGAAATTCAGGAAGCTTCAGGAAGAGGATCCCATCAGGCCTGGACCTCACATGGCAGCTACAACCACAACCGTGGGTGAAACCCCGGCCGATGGAACACGCGAGTGAAACTGGGAAGGAGAACGGCTGCTGCGAGCAAAGGAGGTGGGTCAGCGCCAGAACCGAGAATAGAGAAGTCATTCATCTCATTTTATTTATATCTGCCGATTAATCGCATCACAGCATACAACACTGCAAGATTATTAAAAATAATAAAAAAAAACTTTATTGCACAATCGAAACCCATTTTCTCAGAAATGCTTATCCAATGTAGGATGACAATGATTCCGTCCCAGGAAACAGTACTTGCATTAGACAACTGGGAAACCGCAATTAAGTCAAACAGGAGTATAGACAACATGGCAACTCCACACAAACAGGCTGGGACAAGAACTGAAGCAGCAACCCCCGGGGGGCACCAGGCCGCAGCTCTGACTACTGACACAGAGCACAAAACCACCCGGAACGCAAAACTAATTTGCCTGCACTGAATATAGTTTTCTTCATCATTAGAAAGATGCCGTGCCAGCCCTTCAGGAAATCAGATACGGAATTATGTACCACTGAAATGTAAGATTCAACCTTCAGCACCGCCATGCTAGAACCAACATATACTACATTACCCAGCAGCCTCGGCAGCTTCAGTTTTCCTGCCTGAAGTCAGCAATCTACGATCGCCTATGATCTATGATGGCTTTTGGCCGCTGACTCCAGTTCCCAAGACCCAGCTATTCACCTTCCTGTTCTTTATACACACTGAGACAATTCACAGCACACTGAGGAGAAGTGACACTGACCAAAGGACCAAGTGTCAAGCCAGTAAACTTTTAAAAAGTCACGATGAGGTTTACATCCGCTGGCATGTTAGCTCATCTTTCAAAAGGAAATGAGAGATGCCCGCCCCCCCCCCAACCCTTTGGAGCCGCCGGACTGCAGCAGTACCACATAGATCTGACCTAAACCAGGTGTCTAAAATGAAGGCGTATGCCAGCCGCACAAGAGACAGAAACATGTCCTGACTGCAAGGGAATACCAAGGAAAGCCTTCAGGAGACACCTCTGCCAGCAGGGCTGGGTTTAAAAAAGAAAGAAAAGAAAAGAAAATGGATTTTCTGATTCAAATCCATCTCCATTTGCATAATCTGATATAGATTCCTAAAGTTCTAATATCGATTTTTTTAGTACGTGCCCTTTACAAAATGGCCTTTTCCCGTGGATGTGTGAAGCTTTACCCCGTTAGTCTCGCGTGGCCAGCCTCATGCAACAAGGTGTAGCAGACAAGCAGATTTAAAAAAAAGAAAAGGAAAAAAAAAAATGGTGGGAGCTGCTCCGACGAAGGTAAAGGCAGATGTTAGGGTGGAGTTCAGACTTCAGAAATATGAAGACAGTGAAGGGTTGGAAAAAGCAGAGTCGTATGCAAGATGAAATGCCACAAATCTCCGAAACCATCATCCAGATGCACAGTCTGCAAAAATGTCTGATCTGACACTTGAACATATTTAATAAAAAGTTAATTAATGCAGCAGTTACGGGGTAAATTCTTATTCTTTCTTTTATTATTTTATATATATTTATTATATAATAGCTAATATTTAAGGGTGGCATGGTGGTGCAGTGGTTAGCACTGTTGCCTCACACCTATAGGACCTGGGTTCGAGTCTCCGCCTGGGTCACATGTGTGTGGAGTTTGCATGTTCTCCCCATGATGTCGTGGGGTTTCCCCCCACAGTCCAAAGACATGCTGAGGCTAATTGGAGTAACTAAACTGCCCATAGGTGTGAATGGTGTGTGTGTGTGCCCTGCAATGGGTTGCCCCCCCCCGTCCTGGGTTGTTCCCCGCCTGTAGCTGCTGGGATAGGCTCTAGTGTCTTGCACCATCTACAGCATTAATTCTCAGAATCTCCAATAAAAACAAAACTGATATTGTAATGGAAACATTTCTAGGTGAATCAATATAGAATTGAATCAAAATTAGAAATCAAACTGAATCAGGACCATGAATCACTGGCAATTCCCACCCCTACTTGCCAGGCTGGGCAAAAATGCGTGTTTATACCTAAAATAAACACGGCAAAGGCTGTAACTGAAGACATCCAAATATCCCATAAGAACTGTATACTGAGAAACACACATATTTGGAGTAAAATATAAATTAATGCCTGCAGGTCTCAGTGATCCCTTAGAAGCTGAATTTTTTATTATTTTTTTTTAAACGATCCTGGCAAAATATTAAGAAAATGTATCTGAAATCATTGCAATCCAGCTATTTGTTTTGAAGCGTATTTAGGAGGTGGAGCGCTAGCACTGCCCACTCCCCAGCCCCCACCCCAGCCCCCACCCCAGCCCCAAGATGCATTTCTGGGCCAGATAAGTCTTCCCAGTAGTTAGAGGTTAGAGACAACCATACCAAAGGCATTCACCCTTCTGGAATCCAAGCTGTAAAATATGAATGAAAAGGTCCATGCTTGCACACAGAAACACACAATGAGCCCGCTGAGCCGGCACCCTCAGGAGGACAGCCTGTAGAGCCAGCCAAGCACAGGGGCCATTCTAGTGGGTGATAAACATCTCCACACAGGAGTCTGGCCACGGACAGGCTTGCCCACTCCGATTCTGAACAGCCAGGGAAAAGGCGGAGTCAGAGCAGGGCAGCAGGCTGGGGGAGACGACCCAGTGCTGGCCAGCCCGCAGGCAGCCGGAGAGGGGCAGGCGGAGAGGGGCAGGCGGAGAGGGGCAGGCGGAGAGGGGCAGGCGGAGAGGGGCAGGCGGAGAGGGGCAGGCGGAGAGGGGCAGACGAGCATCCAGCTCAGAGCTGCGCCTCTGAGAGGGTGTTTGCGTAACTTCCTGCTGCCGAACGCCCGGCACGGCCGCGACTGCATTCTTCAGCAGGACGGCACACGTCAGAGAGCTATTTTAAGTATGCAGCCAAACAAGTTCCCAACGAAACGGTAAGGGGAGGGTGCAGGGGGGAGTCAGAGAGCCACCTCTGTTTTCAATTATGCGTCCTGCATTCTGGCTTAAGCGTGGGGAAAGGGCCTC